TATTGCAATTGTGCAATTGTTAATAGTTTTGCTCAAATTGTCTTTTTTTTTTCCACTCTTTAGTAGCTCTACTTTTATCACGAGGCTAAGAAACACCTTAATCATAAAATTCAATATGATATATCTCCATGTGCTCATAGTGTAAAGGACATCAATGACTAATATGGGCCACAGTGCTGGGGTTGTGGGTGCTATCTATTTGATAGTGTCATTCCAATAATTGTCTTCCACATTTTGTTTTTTTTTAAATTTTGGGGGGGCAATTATTGGAAAGGCCAATAATCAACACTATCAATAATTGTCCTCGAGATGAGAGTCATAGATATGCATATCTTGAGATTGAAAATTTTTTGTCATTGATATGAAAGTTGTCGAGTAGAATAGGCACGTGGAATTACACGTGAAGCAGCGAGGATTACCTTACAAATGCTAAATTCTCTGTGGTGGCTTACAGTGAAGTAGTACCGCAAGAGAATGGTAATAAAAACCTTCATCGAAAAGTGAAAAAGAAAATGAAATTGTAAGCTCTTGAACGATGGAAGGAAGAGCAATGCTAAAAATCTGACCTAATTGACTATAATCTTTGTATTGATGGTAGATTTTATCAAATATTAAAATTTAATGGTAATCTAATAATTCCTATTCAATAACATCATTATATCAACAAATTAGATCAAATTTTTAAGTCAAAATAATATTATTACTCTGCAAAGAATTCCGAGCTTTGAGACCTTGCCCGATTGAACATTGAGCCTGCAACTCATAGGTACCTGTTTCTATACCAAAACTTTTAACAAATTTTAATACCTGCCAATATAAAAACCCACATGATCTTCACTGCAATATTATATTTTACATACAAATTGCCAGCAGTATACAATTTATTAAAATCTGGTCTCCTATGCAATTACAAACATATATATTAACAAGAAAGCAACCACATTATTATTTTGATACAAAGCTTTCTTTAGAGCTTTATTAATAATAGAACTTAAAAGGAGTACATAGAAAATTTAGAATCGGGAGGGGATTTTGTTAAATATAGGTCTATTTATATGAAATATCGTTGAAGTTATATCTATTTATAAGGGATATAGATAAAATTTACTCCATAAAATATTTAAGAGTATTTTTATAAATTATCAATTGTCGTTAACGCCATAACCATTTTCTCACTATATATACCATACCCTTTATTGTTGTTGAAGGTAAAAAATGATCTGGTGTTGCTGGAAGACAGAAAATTGAAGCCAACCATTCTTTCTCAACTCGTTCTCCACAATGATCGATCACTACCTATGTTGATAAAAAAAATATTTTTTCTTGTAAATTTGTAAATATTTTTCATGTAGATTTTTTAAAATTTTTCATGAATTTTTTAAATTTTTTTATGCAGATATTTTAAATTTTTTCATGCAATTTCCTTTTAAATTTTTTTCATGTAGCTTTTTTTAATTTTTTTCATGTAGGTTTTTTTATGCAGATATTTTTAATTTTTTTCATGTAGATTTTTAAATTTTTTTCAAGCAATTTTTTTTAAAATTTTGTTCATGGATATTTTAAAAAAAAAATTGTTCTATTTTATTATCTCAACATGTTGTGATGTGTTATAATATGATTGACGTCTTCTTCGACCGTTAGTGGAGGCAAAGACATAGGAGAGTGCATTGCAATTTAAATTGATGCCATTAATTTAATATAATTAAATATTAAATTGAAGACATTAATTTGATAAAATTAAATATTAAATTGTTGAACCTAAAGGTTAATATAATAGAACTAAAATGGAGTGAATTGAAATTTTAAAATTGGAAGGGAGTATTGTTAGATATAGGTCTATTTATAGAGACCGTCGTTGAAGTTATGTTTATTTACAAGAGTTATAGATAAAATTTACCATATAAAATATTTAGGAGTATTTTCTGTAAATTGTTGCCATAACTCAACAAACATTGACAGAGGGTGAAATTGAAGTTTCAGAATCGGGAGAGAGAATCATTAAATTTAGACCTAATTATAGGGGATGTAAATAAATTTTTTCCTTAGATTAATAGGTTCAACAAAAATTATTAAAAATTTAATAATTTTAATTTTTTTTGGGAAGAGGGATAAAGATTTGAACCTTGAATCTCAAGAAAATAAAATTTTCACAAATTAAAAAATATTATTAAACTAAACACCCATTAATTAATAATTTTAATTGTGCGGCAGCAAATAGTGTAAAAAAGACGACACACAAAGTTGGTGTTCACATCAAGGATNTTTGGATGTTCCAAGAGGCAAACTTTCTAGGTATACCATGGCCCGCAAAACATTACTTAATGATATTAGCTATAGTACTCAGAGTTTCATGTTATTAGCTGATTGATTTATATGGTTTTGTAGATGATTGTCTCGAGGTCATTATAAAACGACAACCCATCATTATCTGTCAATTGGAGAAATTGGTTGAAATTTCCAACAATGTTTACTTCGTTAGCTTGGCTCCACCTACCATCTGACATATGATCATACTGTCATGGCTGATGTATTTTACACTGACCTCACACACGAGACCGGAGTCAGGAAAAAGTATTGAGATAAACGTATTAGCTCGTTTTAATCTTTTTTTTTTCCAATTAAACAAAGAAGTTTATAAATTTATATTTTAAAATATTAAAAATTTATTAAACATAAAAATTTAATAATCATTATATATATATAATATGGAAAAATAAAAAATAATTAAATTTTTAATTAAAAATAAGACTAATTATTGTCTTTTACAATTCATCACGATGTATATCATTTAAAAGAGTTAGAAATAAATCTTATTAATAAATATTTTTTGTAATATAAAAAACATGGTAACAATTTTTCACTTCAGAATGACATTAATTTTTATACAATAAAAAATAATTTTATAATTTAAAAAAATAATTATAAAATAACCCCAACNAATTTTATAATTTAAAAAAACAATTATAAAATAACCCCAATATATCGAAAACTAATTCGGACATGTCTGAAATATATTTAAAAATTAAAAATATTCTAAGATGTTTAGCAAAGAAGTCACAATTATTCAAAGATGTTTGAAACCTGAATGAACAATCGTGTTAGAAACGTCAAAAAACAATTTCATTATATATAATCTTAGCTAGATTATAATTACTATTACTACATTACTTATATGTTTGGTTTGCTAAAGTGTAAATCAGCCGGCCATCCTAACAAAATTAGGGTTGTTTAAAATTCCGTTTACCCGACCTGTTTCGCATCCATCCTATTCTACTCTACCCAATTATTAGAATTTTCCAAAATTTTGGCCGACCAATAAAAGAAAANGTTGTTTAAAATTCCGTTTACCCGACCTGTTTCGCATCCATCCCATTCTACTCTACCCAATTATTAGAATTTCCCAAAATTTCGGCCGACCAATGAAAGAAATTTTAGTATATTGTAAAACTGTAGGTAGGAATATGAAATACCCATAAAAATTTTGCATTCTTACCTAACTAGCACATATATTTAATTTTTTTTAAAATAAATATATTTGGTATAAAACGATGTCGTTTTATATGCTCATATTATTGAATTTATTGTATTTTTTTTAGTATTACTGATTTATTGTGTTGGTTTACATGTTCTTATATTATATTTTAATAACCTAATTATAAAAATAGCCCAAAAACTTGGTAATTGAGTTGTTAATAAGACCCAAAAATTAACAACTTAAAAACTGAAAAAATGTAAAATATTCTGCGTTTCTACCCGACTTTTAATCCAAGTAAATTTTTTGGATGAAATTCGGCTCGACACATAACCTCGATCGGGTAAAGTCGGCCAATAAATTGACCTTCTACAGTTTGTCGGTTCAAAANCGCGTTTCTACCCAACTTTTAATCCAAGTAAATTTTTTGGATGAAATTCGGCTCGACACATAACCTCGATCGGGTAAAGTCGGCCAATAAATTGACCTTCTACAGTTTGTCGGCCAATACTATTTCTTATTCGTTGACTCGGGTCAACATCCCTAGTAAAAAAATAAGCAGTCTTTTCTCCACCAACGACTGACTTCTTGCGGCGCGCTGTTGTCACACGGCTAACTTTATGCTGACATATCATACGTTACGTGTAGATACGAAATCAAACAAGCTTAATTTCTAGGAAGCTGCATCTCAATAATAGTACGAAGATATTTCTTGAGGTTTGCTTAGGTATTAAGAATATAAAAAGAGATCAAAGTACTTTCATCTCCCATCTATAAAAATACCCTTCAACGCTTCTACAAACTTATTATTTCCATAGCCTTCCGATTTCTCCAAGAACGATCCGTCGTCTTATAGTAAGTTTCTATACAGTTTTATAATCATTGTCATTAGTTTTATTTCATTGTTCTTGTGTGTCATCAAATCTGACAGATTTGTAATTTTATTCTTAAGCCTACTGATTAAAGCATATGGATCCATCGTCTTTATTTTTAATTGTTACTGCTAAAATTACGATAATGATTATTAACAACGTAGTTTAAAACATTAAAATTTCGTCATTATGAAGTCTACAGAGAAGAAGATGTTATAAGCTTTACCCTTTTTTTGAGGAAAAACTATTCCATGTCTTGAACCCCGTGATGCCCTTTACGCCAAGGCCATACCCCTCTCTCTCCCTAGCAGTGACTAGATAACCACTCATAACTATTTTGATTATTTCTATTATTATGATCATCGTCATCATGATGCCTTTTGGATGCAATTGGGTGCATATGGAAATTAGTGTAAAATACACTCTCTTCAAATTATGTATTTATTGTTTATTTAGTCTTCAATCTTTCAATTGTGTTTATTTATCTTAGACCTTAAAGTTCCTAATTTATATCTATGTAGTCTTNAATACACTCTCTTCAAATTATGCATTCATTCTTTATTTAGTCTTCAATCTTTCAATTGTGTTTATTTGTCTTAGACCTTAAAGTTTCTAATTTATATTTATGTAGTCTAATTTCAAACGTCTATCATCAATCATGTGATTCCAAATTTTGTGTCTATTTGGTCCTAAAGTTTTTAATTTGTTTTTTTGGTTCCTAAAATTCATATTTTGTGTCTATTTAGTCTTATGTGATTGACGCAGGCGTCAACGAGTTTTTTATGGATGTTTTAGATTGGATCATATAAATATAAATTTAAAATCTTAAGGACCAAATAGACACTACACGCATATTTTAGAGACTAAAAATGTATCTTATCCATGAAATTATATCTTTCTCGGTTTTTTTTGACTAAGATCAAGGGTAGAAATTATATCCCAATTTATTTAATTAATTAACCAAGAGTGATTACTTCATGGCTTTCAATGGAATGTTGGAGGCAAGTCTAACTATGATCTTTGTCTTTGATATGTTTTTGGGCTAGTTTCAATGGAACAGTACTCTCGGGTTGCTTCCTCAACATTTGTTCTCAAGGTAAATATCAGCTGCCGTGGATGTGAGACACACATCGAAAAAGTGCTGCAAAAAATTCCCGGAGTATGCCCTGATTCAACGGTGATAGATGCAGAGAAAGGAAGAGTTACTGTTTCAGGCTTTGTAGACCCTCAAACCGTAATAAGGGAGCTTAGCAATGCTGGGAAAATAGCAGAGCTCTTGCAGATTGTTTCACAGTCAGAAGTGCATGTCAAAATTCCATGGGGCCAAGTTGTTTTCGTTGACCCAGTTCGCTTGTTGGCAAATAATCTGGGGCAGATCCTGAATAATATTGAACGCTTGAAGGAAGTGGAGGTGACCCGTGACAGTGTGAAGATGTCTTTCTACGATGAGTCAAGTGGTGGAAACAGGAAAGATGGTGGTAGATCTCGTGGCAGTGGTGGTGGTTGAAGATGGTAATGGGTGCTACTGGGTGCATGACAATCTTAAGTATTATTTTATGCTCATGTGAGGTGTTTTCATTTGTTTTGCTTGGTTTGTCCTCCAGAATCTTGGTTCTATTATTGATGTACTTGTTATTTGGTTATTAATTAATGCCTGATTATTGTTCCCTCTGTCCTTATCCTTTGTCCACATCTGCCGTAGCCATAGCTCTATCATTTGTTTTGCTTGGTTTTTGTGAGTTTATGGATGTTTAGACTTGTTATTTGGTTATCGTTACCGTTATTAATTAATGCCTGAGCATTCCTCCCTATCTCCTTATCCTTTCTCTACTTCTTCTGTAGCCATAGCTCTATACTGGTAACTTGCTGCTTATAAACCAGCATCTTAGTGGCAAGTCATTCCATACTGCACTAACCCAAGGACACAATAGAAACAAGGATTGCCTGGTAGTTGGAGAAACTATAGTTGAAGTCATATTTGAAAAGTACTTACTATTTCTTTAATTATAATTTGTTTGATAGCTCAATTGGAGAACATATATATATATATATATATTTTTTTTTTTTATTTAAGAATCCACTTAGCAATCAAGGAAATTAAAAATCAATGAGAAATGGAATTTGTTGGACAAGGAAACTACGACCAAGGTTTGCATCCTGGTGTGGCAGTGACATTTCAGAAACAATGGGGGTGTCCCTGCAATTAGGCCAACCTCATGGGGGTGTCAATGAAATTTAAAAAACAATGGGCTAAGATGGAGGTTTTCCCCAAACCCAGCCCTCCTCAAATCTTAATTTCTCAACCCAATCCGTTTTAAACTTATTTCTCAAACTCAATTTATTTTCAAAAACGTCATTTGAAATGATGCATTCAGATGTAAAAACGTCATTTAGAATGACGATTTGAAATTATTATTATTATTTTTTTCTGAAAACGTCATTAAAAATAATCTTTTTAAAGTCATCATTTATAATGACGTTTTTAACATAAATATTTAAACGGCAGCTAACGGGCGTTAAATAACTAAATGGGTAAAAAACGTCATTTACAATAACGATTTTAATGTTCTATCTGCTCTCTTAAAAATTTCCAAATCACAGCCTAAGTTAGTAATTTTCAAAAATTTTCACCTCTTTTCCTCCACAAACGACTATGACCTCTCCTCCTCTACCAAACATCGAGATTCAGCCTCTTTTCCATGAGCTCCAACCAGTCAACGACTGTTATCTCCGACGAACTCCAACCATTGTTCATCCATTGAGTTAGCGACTTGATCAAGATCCAGCATCTTCATCCACTGAGATCCAACCTTTTCATCCAGCGAGTCAACGATTTTGCCCTAAATCAATCCAGAACACCGGATATGTTATTATCAAACTTGAATAACTCAATTTTGACATGATAAATTCATTTAACTTTAGAGGAAAATGTTTGATTTAACTGTGGTTGTTTCCAATTCAGAGAAAAAAAAAATCTAGTGGTATTGTTTGTCATTGTAGAATTAAAGGGGCAATGTCTTGGCTTTTCTCTCACAGCTTTATCCATTTCTAATCCATATACTTGTTCTATCCCCTCTCTAGGCCATCTGAATGTGGATCTGGACTTGGGCTAGTATTTCCGAGCACCATCAAGTACATAGACTCAGATGTTACTATATTTTCTTTTTATTCTTCTCTAATAATCTGACCATAGAAAAAGGAAGAGAGAAGAGAATCCCATGAAAAATATGGTGAGAAATCCCAGAGGTCCTAAATTGAATCATTGTAAGCCATCCTCCATTTTTGTACTGTCACATTCAATTGTCATCACCAATGTATGCGTCTAAGGGAATTTAAGAAGTCAAATGCACTCAGTTGCAATTTGCTCTAAATTCAGTTTGAATCTCAATTTAATTTGAATCTTTCAACTCGTGTATTGATTATGTTAACATTATTAAACTCTGATTGGAGTTGAGTCTGAAATTTGAGATGAAACTTGAGTTCAATGGATGAAAATAGAGATTAGAATGGGATTAAATTCGGGTTCAATGTGGGTTCCTCGTAACCTGGGCTTGGATTTGGGAAATCTCCATCCTGGCTTCCTTTACCACGGGAAAGGGAAGTAACATAAAAACCAGTGTNCTGGATGGGGAGTTTGCTTGTCGTTGATGTTAACTGATTGAACAATTCCACCATAGTGCTTCTGAGGGATTCTATGTTGGACAACTGCAAATTATTGATAACTTCTGCACTAATGTTTGATACAGGTTCTAACTTGAAATGCCCTTGCATCTCCAATAGATTCTTGCATTTATTTAAGTGTAACCACTGTTCAGAGGCCAAAGATGATGCATATTCTATTTTTTTCCAATGATGGGCAATCGCTCGTAAATAAGTTGTATTTTATATGGGGTAACCCTGTGAGTCTTTGCAGCTTTGAACATGAATCTACATGGAGTGCGTCGAGACTATTAAGACTTCTGACACAATCTGGTAGGCTATGGATTGGATTTTCGCTAAGATGTAGCACCTTCAACAAGGGTAGGCTCCGAATTAATGCAAATGAAGTTGGCATATTCCCCCACCAGGGCTGGCCCAGCTATAGAAGCAAAAAAGCTTGGGCTTTAGGCCCAAGATTTTAGGAAGGCCCATAATTTTTGNTAACCACATCTCTCTCTCTCCCTCTCTCTATAAAGCCCCTCCCTCTCATTTTTATTCTCACTCTTCATATCAATTTCAAATAAAGAATTTTTTTTGATTGTTTATTTAACTTAAAAAATAAAATTATTAAATGCTGATAGTTTAAAAAAATTTATCTTGATTTTGGATGTTTCTTAATACATAACAATTTTTTTGACATTGATTGTTTATATTTATTTTAAAAATAATTATTTTAAAACAGATTTTATAAATGAAAGAAAATACTCCAATTGAAACACCAATTTATATAAAAACATTAGATTTTTTCCTTCAAATGTATGCATTTCTTATAGAATATTATTATTAATTTTTGTAATAGTTACTTCTACAAAAAGAAGCTTTTCAAAATTAAAATCAATAAAATTTTATTTAAAATTGACTATCAGAAAAAAATAATAATTAGATTAGCGATATTATCGATGAAAAAAAAATATGATAACAAAATTTAAATATAAAAACTCAATTTATACTTTTACAACTCAAAAAAGGAAAAGAATTAATTTTAATCAAAATTTTTAACACTAAAAATAATAAGGTCTCAAAATAAATTACCGCTTTAGGCCTTAAATTACCTTGAGCTGTCCCTGCTTGTTTTGTCTCAATTTCGTTGTCTCTCTTGCTTTACCTGTACTACGGAGAGCTCCACTACATACGAGCTTCGTCACTGAGNACATTGACCACACTAGGTCCAATTATCCATTCTTTCACCTCATGAGTTTATGCATTAAACTTAGTTAATACAAGTTCAAAATTATAATTCTTTTACAAATATTACGTGTCAATACATAGTTTGAACAAAAGTCTACAAAACAGTTATGGTTAAAAGCCACATGTCACCCCTATTCACCCTTAAGGCCCCGAATGAGAGTCCTCCGCCGGTACGCACCTTGCACCTGAAATGTTTCCCGTATAGGGTGAGATNGTGCCTTTAAGGGGTAAATATTAAATGCAACTTGGTAGCACCAACTAATAGTAAAACCTTAAGTGAATAAAGTGAACTTTATTTGAGTAATAATTTGATTACATATAAGAAAAGTAGATAATTATTAATTTTAGCAACAATGAGATACTANCACATGCCACAAACAACTTCTTCCATTCCAAATAAGAATATGTTATTCAAGATAAAATCTCATGATGACATGCCAAGTAATGAGACGAAACTCACTCATGCATGCTATCCCGAGTCCACACCGACCCTCACAACACAANTATAAAACTAGTAGTAATAAATATTTAATGCATAAATATAATTTAAAAATAAAACCACTTTCCAAAAAAAAAAAATACGCATGAATCATGGTGCATTAAAAATAAGAGATTTTAAATTAAATGACCCAAAATTTCAGGGTTTAATAAAAGACTTGTTAAAATTTTTAAGAAAGAAAAATTTTACAAAATGGGTATTTACGTATTTGTATATCAACTATGTACTTTTATCTAAATAATTTTGTTTTATGTACTTTTTTACAATTATATACTTAATTTAGTGTACCGACTTCCAAAGAACTCAATGTTTGACAATGTAGCAAACTTCAAGTTTTGAAGTTATGTTGCCTTTTGTGTTTTATATGTCAATAAGTGATTTTGGATTTGGAGGACTAATGAAAAAATTTGTATGGCTTATTGGGGTCAAAGATTTTATCATTTTTGTTCTCCTTGGATTTTTCTCTAGGAGGATTGAATTTTTTGCTGGAACTTCCGTGAATCATTGGTGGAAATCAGATTGTGAACTTTAAAATCTCATTGTGAAGACTTTTTTTCTATGCAAATTTCTAGGGTAAGATGAAGTGTGAACAAGACAAAATCCCAAGGCGTTCCATGGGATTTTGTAATATTTACTGACTGAAATGTAACACGCATGGATCGAATACTCTTCTTGGTTTGTGACGCCCCAAAAACCGGGGTTTCGATGATCGCTCATCAATCTGCGAAATGCCTATGGATATCGTATAACTCGATACCACACCGTTGTGTCCCATTTATTAGGATTTATAATTTAACAAAATCGGACAGAGTCTCCTTTGTACAGGGAAACTCTACCCAAAACACAACCTGTGCACCGTACCATCACATGACCCATCTGAGGTCCCATATACAAATGTTGACCACACCGGGTCCATTTATAAGAAAACATTGACCACACTAGGTCCAATTATCCATTCTTTCACCTCATGAGTTTATGCATTAAACTTAGTTAATACAAGTTCAAAATTATAATTCTTTTACAAATATTACGTGTCAATACATAGTTTGAACAAAAGTCTACAAAACAGTTATGGTTAAAAGCCACATGTCACCCCTATTCACCCTTGAGGCCCCGAATGA